ATAATCGTGTGGAAGTAGTAATGTTACAGCGTTAGTATCTTACTAAATAAGGTACACAAATAGTTGAATAGAAACATTGAAATAAAGTAACTTCATATTTGTGTGTGTATTTTTTTAAATCTATGGTTTTATTTCATAACATTTAAATGTATACCCCTTTTAAAATTTTGCTAAGTGTGCTGTGATATTTTCATTTGCTCTTAGATGTGCCATTGCTTAAAAAAAATGTTGAGAAACAATTTTGAGAAACACTGTTGAGAAACACTGAGACACAAAGGTGAGTAAGACGAATGAGTTTTAACTGACACCGGATATTCACTAAGCATGGAAAGTGAAATGAGAACTCTTTGTCCAGGTGAAGTGAATAAATGGTTAGGTACAAAGTTCCAATCAGGTTACAGAATAGGACGACAGAAACGATGATACATTCATCACGTGTGGTGGGGGGAGGGACGATATAAATATCCCTCTATCTGTGTCTGTATTATGTTACTATTAAGACTATTTGTATGTCAGGAAGTGACTTTTTTTTATCATTTGATATAACATATAAAAACTTGCTGAAAACTAGGACTGTTGATTTTTTTTTTAATAAAAAATAGGATTTGTTTTATTTAAATAGGATTTTTCGTCATTTTTAACGAAGAAAAAATACTTAAAATAATAGTAATAACGCTGCATTAAAATAAAATGCACATTGAAAAAAAATGCTACAGAGTGTAACGACCGAAAATTTATAATAAAGACAACAAAGGTTGTGTTTTTGCCCCCAAGAAGCATCGTATAATATTAATATAATATACGCTGTTCTAATGATAAAAAAAATGTCTTTAGCAGTGATACTCAAATGCCGTGACGCACGTTGGGTAATACCTGAAAAGTGGGGAGGAAATAAAAAAGAGATAAGAAAGCTAGTCTCAAACGATAATTGCATAACAGTCACAACACTGCATCAGAGAAACGAAATTAAAAAAAAAAAAAACATTGAAAAAATGCTACAGTATAAAAAGTTAAAAGCAACAGTGGGGAATTTGCTCTCAAAGAAGCATTGTATAACATTAACAACGCAATACCACATCATTTTTTTTTACAATAATATTCACCCTCTACAAATCCCAAGCCCTACACGAGGTAGAGAGTTACAGAGTAAGAGACACAGCACACGTATATATGTGTGGAAGATAACGGTTAACCCTAGACTAGGTTAAGATTGTAATGATCAAGGAAGGCAGTGGTTCGTAGGAAGAAACTGCTTGAGTGGAACTTACATCTCACTAGGAGAATAAGAAGGGAATGAAGATGGTTCGCTACAATGTACGTGACATGGCGGGTCTTAGCCGTGTGGGTTAGCACTGGTGGAACTGAAGAGCGTAGTTCTTCTGAACAATCACCATTGAAATAGCGATAGTGCAGCGAAACTCTTGCCCCGTCTCATCTGTGAGAAAGGGTTTGCAGAGAGGAAAATAATCCATCACACACAAGGCTGCATTTAGAATCTATCGAGAATGGAAACTGAAGACTCGGCAGCTCCCACCCATACATAGCAGCAGTAATCCATTTTCGGCCTGATCTGGCTTTTTGTAACGGTAAAGGGTAGCAGGAGGAGTGAGGTACTTGCTGAAGCAGTACAGGACAACCGACCATTTTTCCCTGCATGTTTAGAGATGGATCGTATGTACGAGTTCCACACGAGGTCTGGGTTGATTTTAAGTCCCAAAAGGTGCTTAAGGCGAAGTGATTCCTTGAAGGAATATCCCTTCATTGGGACTGTTGATAGCTGTGGGTTCAGTCGCCGATGATGTGGAATAGACTCCTAACAGGATAATTCCCCTGATTACTACAATCTTAACCTATTCAAGGCTAGGGTTAATCGTTATCTTCCTCAATTATACACAAAAATGGCCTCCTAACGTAAACCTTTACCTCGAGTGACTTCCGGGCATTGTAAAGTGTAACTCTCACTGTAAAAAAGAAATGTAATCTTGCTAACTATACGTTCTGTATTCTTGTAATTTCTGGTAAGAAGATGGAATATGTGAAATTATTGACTGTCAAACCCAACATACTGTGTATCACCATAACCCTGGCTAACCAACTGTTGTATCTAGTCCCAATAGACGCTTAAATCACAGGGGATCCCTAAGGGAACATCGGCTCAATATGATTGGTGAAAGTTCTTCTTCCGATCGGTGATGATAGAAGGTCACTCGTTTAGTTTTGAGATATTGAATGCGCCAAGCCAGTTTTTTTTATTTTCCCTAATGAGCCGCTAGAGTTAGATCAGAGGTGAGATCAGCTGCCAAAATCTGGTCAACGAGATTTCCACCTGATGAAAACATCATCGAAAAATCATTTTGTAAAATGATTAGAGTCAGCAATGTTTTTTCAGTTTACATTGAACTTCCAAGTTCAACTGAAGGTTGCAATATCACATTTTAAGAGACAGTATTTACACGCGGACTATTCTCCTCATTATTGTTGTTATTATCCAGTCGTTTCGGCCGATATGCCCTCCGGCTTCCATCAGGCACTAGTCGATCTGGGTAGCCGTCTACGAATTTCGAACTAAACACTTTATTTAATCCACGAGGTAGATTGTTCTCATTCCGCTGACCATATCTAGGAGTATATCGTCCAGTTCTCATATTGCTACTGCTCAGTAATTGCCCTCCTCGTATCCGTTGAGTTGCACGGATTGCAACTACCAATTACTATGCAACTGCAGACTTGGATTCAGTAACACTCTATACTAAGGGGATCTTTGCCCTTGATACAAGCGTTTACGGGGCTTTACAATTAAATTCTGTTATATTTTATGCCACCTCCCCCACCCCAAAAAAAACAATGAAAGGTAAATAAAGAGTTCTCCTATGCAGAAGTATCCCGTTTTTGTTTGTTTGTTTTTCTTTTTTTAATCATTTCACACCAGGCAAGGTTATAAAGCCACAAAGACGCAAGTGATTTATTTAAAGCCGAAACATTTTGGGTTGCAAAAATAGTAGTTTTTCTTCTTTTTGTAAGAGAATATTGATTATAGTCTATTTGTTTGGTTTTTTGTTGTTGTTGTTGTTGTTGTTTTCCATCATTTCAATCCAAGCAAGGTAATAAGGCAATATTGTCACTAAGACATAATAAATTTATGTATTATTTATGTATTATTTATTATCTGCTCATTATGTGGAGTTGATAACACGAGAGATAGTAATACTGAGTAAAAATTATGAGTTTGGGGGTCAAATGTAGATCAAAT